CCACGGTGCCCAGCCTCTGATCTTCAGTTTAGCTCTGCAATCTAACCAGTCTACCATGACCACTGAATCACCATTCAGTCCTGTCAGCTCAGAACCTGTTCTCTTAATCCATAATGTATCTGAATATTTTAACCACTTTAAAAACCTTATATATTAATAAATTTTAAATTATATTTTCCTAATGTATAAAAGGCAAATGTCTGGACTTCAGAATATTTCCTTCGATTTATCTTTAATAAAGTCCAGCTTGTTCTTTTTTGTAGGCAGCATATCCATTTTGAAATCATCAAATACAACAAACTCATGCATTACCTAGCAAAACAAAAACAGTATTATTATTATTTAGGATAATGGCGTCCAGTTGAAAAATAAAATTAAACATCAATATTAGGATAACCAATGGTCTGATGTCTAAAAACATTACAGATAGTTAATTACATGCTTAAGTAAGGTGTAAAGAAGTAGCATAACACTTGAAGCGATTGTTAGTAAGATAATCTCTCTCATTCATTCAACATTTATTTATTTACTACCTAACAAATGTGCGTTACTGCACTAGATGCTAAGGAGAATAAACATAAAAACATAATGTAGAAGTTAAGCTCCTGGCCCTCAAACAACTTATAGCTGAAGAGACATGGGATGTTCTTAAGTTATATGACAAGATATAATATGATCATGCACTAAAGTACTGTTAGAGTCAACATGATATGAAAGTCTAAAGGAAGGAAACAGGTCTGTGGATTAGAGGGATCAGATAAAGTTCATGTTGGAGAAGTGTTTTCAGCTGAGGTAAAGGAAGAATATGGGGGAATGGAGAAATGGGAAAAGTTGAAGAGACAGAAACCAACTAAAAATACATAATAAATACATGAACATAGGTAACATTTCTTTTGAAGTCAGTAGTCTATCAGCCTAACTGAAGTAAAAATTTTAAGTTGAGAAATAGTAAAGTATAGACTTGATGGGGCCAAAACACAGATGCCCTGAATTCCTCCCCAATGTTCCCTACAACAAATACCACTTCCTTTTTCTTCTTCCTTTTTTCTTGTCTGTCTAGTAACTATGGCATCTTTGTTATGTTATACTAGATGACCTTCATTACATTTCACGGACCTTCAAAGATATTAAGAACAAAATGTCTGCACTTTAGACCACTAGTTCCCAATCGGCTGTGCCCAGATTACCAGGATTCCACAAGAGCAGATGATGAAAATTCAGATATTATCATCAGATATTATTATCAGATAATATTTCAAAAAGTCAAACATATCCAATTACTTATCTAAAACAAAGCTATTCAAGTTAAGTGAAATGGCAAGCCTCTGTTTTGAGCTGAACTATATTAACCTACAATGGATACCACAGGCTGATAAATTCTCACTGGAAATAATATATATCTAACAAGTAGTGATGTTTTAATATTTATTATTTAATGTATACCCCTTATTTGGTAGACAAAATCTTTGGAAGCACAGTGTCCACAGAAAAAAACATTAAAAGGACCATTAGTGGTAGAGAAAATTAAGAAACCACTGTCCTTGATATTAAAGGAACATACACATTTATGTTCTGACTTCCACTCCAAATGAGTCATTTGTGAACTTTTTTTCACAATAACAACTCATACTACTAATTAACTCATTCTTTCAAAGAAATTATCTTTGAAATATTTTAATATCATACTAGGATGGTTAACTTTATAAGAAGAAGCAAGCAATATTTCAATATACTTGTGTAAGATTAATCTTTTATAAAAACTTTTCTAAATAATAGATATCAAACTATCCCAAAGGCAGACTAAAGCAAACAAATAAACCAATGATGTATACTCAGGCAGCTTCCTAACAGCAAAAGAAATGAAACTTATCAGTAAAATACTAACAACAAAAACGTAATTTTATTTGACTACATAAAAGTTTTAAATATTGTATTAAATACTAGCAGGAAGTTAATAGCAGGGTAATTGCAATATATTTTTCAAGCTAGTAATTTAATATATATAACAGGTTAATGAAAAACAAAATAGAACTCATTTAATTCACCATCTTATAGATTTGCCAATTTGTTAAAAAATGATGTTTTCTATCAAGTTGTCCAGTTTTCATAAAAATGTGGTTATTTACAGCCATGCTGAACATTCAAACATTCCAACATATGCCCAGCCTGATATTCGTAAGTCTTTCAATAATCAGCAGCAAAAACAGTCTACCTTAGTAGTCTTCAAAAACCACCTAAATTTTAAACACAAGCTGACCACCCACCTGCAAACCAAGGAGAGTCTCTCCCTTTCAGCCTACAGAGTAGTTGAACAAAATAAAGACGAATCAAGCAGTAATCAGATAAGGCTCAAAAGTCAGAAGATCAATTTCTGGCCCAGAAAGCTGTGTATTCTAAGTATGTTGCCGTCTCTATGCACAGCAGAGCTCCAAATATTTAATGACAACCATGTAAAAATAATCATTGCTTCAATCTCTCAATTTTGCTATGAAAAGCTTTTCTAATGTAGTTTAAAGCACATTATCTGTCACTTCCTGGTTGTAGTACCAGCACTTTTTCCAAGGTTTCAGGTCAGAATGCAGAATTGGAAGTTACACCTCACTCTACAGGTTCCTAAGCCACTCCTACAAGAAGAAGATAGGTAAACAGCGTTTCATTAAAGGGACAGTTCCTAATTTTCTCTGTTCTATGCACAGATTAGAAAGAACAAAATGAAAGTAAAAATATTTTGCTTATGCTAAATTGATGTAAAACAGCAATTACAATATTATTTTAACCTCATCTTTAAAATTAACTATATTACAGGTTAAATCTTCTTCTCCATGCTAGTAATTTCTATGCAATTCTGGGAATGTCATGATTACTTCTTCATATGCCACTTTTCCAGTACTGATGTAGTATTCCTATCAGACTCTTGCATTAATCCTTTACAACAACCAAAGATTCTATCTCTGAGTGCTGTAAATGTAACGTAAGGAAATAGCAGGAAGAGCCAGCTGTTCAGGTGGAACAATTCTACTAAGCACCTGGCACATCTCTCATCACTGAAAGGTTTAAGGCAACATTTTGATTACTCAATAATTGTTTTCTTTGAAAATATTTCTGACTTCAGTGTATTTAGAATAATTCCCTGGCAGTGATCTGGACTATAATAAACAGTAATTCCTATTTATTTCTCAGAAGAAAATTTTTCTTCTAAATAAAGAATCAAATTTGCCCTAATTTCTACCTAGTCATTCCATTTAATTTAGTGAAGCGCGTAAACAGATCAAAGGCTACTTGATGAACTCCAAGGATCAACCTTTTGAGGGATGCTAAAATCTCATCATTTTATACAATGGCAGAATGAGACAGAGTAGAGTGATGCTGAAAATACTACTCATTCAAATGAAGAAAGCCCACTATGGGGCAGCTGCCACTGTCTAAAAGGCAGTGCTTTTAGCATATTATGGTAGTTCTCATTGACTAAAATTGTAGATAAATATATTTATGATGGTGAACAAATAACTATGAGAAAAATACACATTAACTGTACCACAATTGATATTTATACATATTTTTGCTAAATATAAAAATCTTTATACCAAACCACTCTAACTGAAGTAAAAATTTTAAGTTGAGAAATAGTAAAGTATAGACTTGATGGGGCCAAAACACAGATGCCCTGAATTCCTCCCCAATGTTCCCTACAACAAATACCACTTCCTTTTTCTTCTTCCTTTTTTCTTCTCTGTCTAGTAACTATGGCATCTTTGTTATGTTATACTAGATGACCTTCATTACATTTCACGGACCTTCAAAGATATTAAGAACAAAATGTCTGCACTTTAGACCACTAGTTCCCAATCGGCTGTGCCCAGATTACCAGGATTCCACAAGAGCAGATGATGAAAATTCAGATATTATCATCAGATACTATTATCAGATAATATTTCAAAAAGTCAAACATATCCAATTAGTTATCTAAAATAAAGCTATTCAAGTTAAGTGAAATGGCAAGCCTCTGTTTTGAGCTGAACTATATTAACCTACAATGGATACCACAGGCTGATAA